ACTTCTCATCCACCAACACCCCCAGATCTTTCTCTTCAGGGCTGCTCCATTTATCCCCCAGCCTGGAGTTGTGCTGGGGGTCACCCCAACCCAGGGGCAGGATCTTGTCCTTGGCCTTGTTGAACTTCATGAGGTTCACACAATCCCACCTCTCCAGCCCATCCAGGTCCCTCTGGATGCCCCATCCCTTTCCTCCAGTGTGTGACATCACCACGCATCTCACTGTCAGCACGGTGCTGAGGGTGCTTCAATCCCACTTGCCCATGTCACTGACAAAGACAGCACTGGTCCCAACACTGACCCTTGGGGCACCACTTGTCACTGGTCTCCACTCAGACATACTTGTCTGCAGCTGCAGCCCACAATCCTTTGAGTGCCACCATCCAGCCAATTCCTTATCCAGTGAGTGTTCCACCCATCAAATCCATGTCTCTCCAGTTTTGAGACAAGGCTGTCCTGCAGGACAGTGTCAAATGCTTTGCACAGTCCAGGCAGATGGTATCAGTCGCTGTGCCCTCACCTATCCGCACTGTCACCTTGTCATGCAAGGTCACCAAATTTGTCAGGCACAATTTGTCTTCAGAGAAGCCATGTTGGTGTCACCAGTCACCTTTTATTTTCTGTGTGCCTTAGCATAGTTTCCAGAAGGATCTTCTCCATGATCTTGCCAGACACCAGTGTGACTGATTGGCCTGTAGCGTACTGCATCTGCCTTATTTCTCTTTTGAAAAATGGGGTCAAATTTCCCATTTTCCAGTCAGTGGAACTTCACTGAACTGCCACAACTTTTCAAATGTGATGGAGAGTGGCTTAGAAACTTCCTCTGCCAGTTTTCCCAGGATCCATAGATGTATCTCATCAGGTTTCACAGACCTGTGCACCTTCATATTCCTTAAATACTCCTTTACTGGAGTATTTAAGATACTGCAGTAGAAGACACTATCTTCTCAAGCCCAGAGAAAGGAACAGAGCTGGTGAAGAATATGGAGCATAAGTCCTCTTAGGAATGGATGAGAGAGCTGGGAGGCTCAGCCTGGAGAAAAGGAGACTCAGGGGACACCTGCTGGCTCTCCACAACTCCCTGACAGGAGGAGGCAGCCAGGGGAGGTCAGGCTCTGCTCCCAGTGAACCAGGGACAGGACAAGAGGAAACGGCATCGAGTTGTACCAGGAAAAGTCTCAGGAGGAATTTCTTCCTGGAAGGGGTGGTCAGGCATTGAAGGGTCTTCCCAGGGAGATGATGCAGTTGCCATCCCTGGAAGTGTCGAAGGAATGCCTGAACGTGGCATTCAGTGCTCTGGGCCGAGTGGCAAGGCAGGTATCGGTCACAGATTGGACTAGATGACACAGGTTTGACTTGATGACTTTGGAGGGCTCTTCCAACCTTAAAGGTTCTGGAACTACGTGGTTCTCCTAGGGTGGATGGTTCTTCCTTCTCCCAGTCCCTGCCTTTGCCCCTGCAACTCTGGCGGTGTGACTGGGTCACTTCCCAGTGAAGACTGGGGCACAAACACTGAGAACCTCAGACTTCTCCATGTCCTGGGAAAACAGGTGTCCCGTTTCCTTTTGGAAAGGACATTTTCCCCAGTCTTCCTTTTATCACCAATGTTCCTATAGAAGCTTTTCTGTTACCCTTGATGTCCCTGGCCAGACTTAACTCTACCAGGGCTTCAGGTTTCCTAACCTGATCCCTAACCTAACCTCAGACAATCCCTCTGCATTCCTCCTAGGCTGCCTGTCTTTGCTTCCACACTCTTTGAGTTTGTCCAGGAGCTCCTTGTTCACCCTCACAGGCCTCCTGGAGTTTTTGTCCAAATTCCTCATGCTTGAGATGCGTCACTCCTGAGCTTGGAGATGATCCTTAAATATGAACAAGCTCTCTTGGGCCCCTCTTCCCTCCAGGGCTTTATCCCATGACACTCAACCAAGGAGATCCCTGAAGAGGCATCCTGAATCCCAGGACTCACTGTGCCCTCCTTGTTGCCCTGAGGATCCTGAATCCACCATTCCATGTTCACTCAGCCCAGGCTGTCCCTGAGCTTCTCATTCTCTACCAAGTCGTCCTTGTTGGTGAGCACAAGGTCCAGCACAGCTCCTCTCCTTGCTGGCTCCTCCCTCACTTGGAGTTTATCCTCAATGCATTCCAGAACCTCCTGGATTAATTATGCTCTGCTGTGTTGTGAATGTGACACTGCTATTGTCTGTCCAGAGACAACTCATCATCTGATGGGTGTTCCTGGTACAGCCCCCTTCCCCAGGTGGCTTCCTGGGCTGCACCTGGCATTGTCCAAATCTGGATCAGCGCTGGGTTTGGCTACCTCAGGTTTATGGTCGGACTTGATGATCTTGAGGGCTTTTTCCAATTGAAATGATCCAATGATTCTATGTCTAGGAGAGACCTCTGTAAAGGTTTGTGCCTCACATAGAAATTCTGGGGCTGTGGTGGGTCTCCAGTACAGGAGACAGGCACAGGGACAGTTCTGGCCAGGGACTCCAAGGCGCCAGTTTTGGCTGTTGGCAACTTGCCCAGCACCATCTTCACTTCCTGATCTGTTCTGTCCAGCACTCACTGCCACTTCTGCTCTTTGGACTGAAATTCCTAAAAGGTCTTCTTCCACTGATTCTTGCCAGGAATTTGCTTGAAGTTGTAATTCATATCCTAAATCCATTGATTTTGTAGTACTTAGCACAACAATTCTGGTAACACCTTCCTGCCAGCATGGGCTGAACTCAGGGATGGCCACCAGTCTCCTTCACTCCTGGGGTGACAGCCAGCATTGCCAGAACTCTTGTTCTTCTCACAGACTCTTCATAAATCGCAGGAGTTCAAGGATGAACAGGGCAGCAAAATCCAGTCCGTGCTGCAGATGGTGAGTCTGGATGAGGAGCAGGTCCAGCAGCCTCCTTGTCTGTCAGAAGCCCCTTTGCTCCTCTTGGCGCAACTTTCCCCCATCGGCACATCAAGAGGCTTCTCTTGGCTCTCAGTGATCCCTGCAACCTTGCACTAGTGCTGTTCCAAGGAAGATGTCTCTCTTCCATACTTGGTTTCTGAACTGCACCAGGTGTTTTCCATCACTGTACTGCACACAGCCCATACATCTTCTTCCATCAAATCCTGGTCACATTTCTGCAAAATTTTGCAATGAGGATTCTTCTCAATGAAGTACTTTGAGTACTTCATTGTGTCTACAAAAAACTCAGGCAAATGGACTACTTTGTTAGGGTAAAAGAGGTTCTGGGATAAAGAAGATGGTGCATTGTAGAATGTCAATGCTGGAAACCTCAAGTGAAATGAGAGGATAAGAGAACTCGGCTTCATTAATTATTTTTGAGATCATTGGAAAATAAAGGAAAGACATTTGTTAGAGAACAGTAAGTGAGCAAAGCCTGTTGGAAGAGTATCTACCAGGTGACTGCAGCACCAGACACATGACACAAGGCTGCCTCCATCTCCTTCCCAAGTCCCATTTCAGGTGGGATGGAGCCGACGTCCTTCACAGTAGCTCCACATCATGCCGTGTTTGGGGCTTTGAGGAGACTGCTGATCACGTACCCGTGTTTTGAGGAGAGTTCCCACGACATCCAGATGTTTTCCTTCTCTTGCTGTGCACCCCCTAGCAGGCTTGGGATGGACAGGAATTTGGGGATGGACAAGAAACTGGGAAGAGACACAGCCTGGACAGTCTTCCCAGACTGATCAAAGGGATATTCCATACCACAGGAGGCCATGCTCAGCAAATAAAAGCTTTATGAAAGCAGGAGGATGGAAGGACATTTCTGGTCAAAGTATTTGTCTTCCAAGTAAATACAGTGCACACAGAGACCTCGGAAATGGCTGATTTTCTGCCTGCTGACAGGACGTGGTGACTGAATTCCTGATTTTACTTTTTGTGCAAGCGGCTTTTGCTTGACCTGTTAAACTCCTTTATCTCCACCCACAATTCCATTCTTCCATTTTCCCACATCCCACAGGAAGGGAGTGAGTGGAGCAGGTGGGTGTCTGGCAGTTGACCAAAGTCAGTTCTGTCCCAAAACACCCATTCCATACACAGTGAGCCCATGGATACCACACTACCATCCTGACTTGCTTGTTCCACCACACTTCCCTCCTATCAAGTAATCTCAATCACTGCAGAATTTATTTCCATTATTCACTGTCCCTCCTCACCCATCACTGTGCATCTGGTCCATCACCTTGGTCTAGCTTAAGCTCTCCCCATCCCTGGAAGTATTGCAGGCCAGGTTGGATGGGGCTTGGAGCAACCTGGGATAGTGGAAGGTGTTGCTGCCCATGGCAGGGGGTAGAATGAGATGAGCTTTAAGATCCCTTACACCCCAAACCATTCTCTGATTCTATGATTCTTCAGAGCAGGAACTTCTCTTGCCTCTCCAAACCATTGGAATTTTTCCCACTGTGAAAACTTAAATAAATAAGGAATATGGGACTCAGCTCTCCAAGAAACATCCATCTCCACCAAAACCCTACAGATAAACTGGGCATCCATGGGATAATAAATGAAAACCCTGCAGATGAAAATTTGATTAAAATTAAACAAAATAAGAATAAAAACGAAAGTAAGGACAGTAAAAAAAAAAAAAAAGCCTTCAGTGAACACAAATCTGCAACAGAGCTCTGTCAGGACTGGTGATGTTTAAAATAAATATAAACAGACAGGAGTAAAGCAGTAACAAACTCTGCTGGCAAAAAAGTTATTATTTGGTGAAAGAGAAAACTGAAAAACTGCAGAAGGAACTGCAATGATCAAAGATATGGACAACAGAAGACAAGGAAGGTGTCCCTACACATACAACAGAGCGTGGTGGGGAAATACACACAAAGTTCTACAAAACTTAGGATGTGAAGACAGTCTGAGGGCACATCCCCTCCTACAAGGCAGACTAAGATACCATAACTGAAGGTGGCAAGAGACATGTTCAAACAACATATTAAAAGACACTCATTGAGGATTGTTAAAGATATCACTGATGGATAAAGAAGTCTTTTAGCTTCAAGAAATTATTATTAACAGAACTCTGTTTTAAAAAAAATACATCCCACTCTTCCAAAGCAACCCCACAACCAAATTTCCACATTGCACATCTGGCCATGGCCTTATAAAGGCTCACAATAATGACAGAGAGAGCCATGAATCCAAGCAACTGTCACAGGGCTCCTCCTGCCTATGTCTTCACATCTGCAAGAGGTTTTATATAAATATCTGCACTGTTACTGTCTAAAGTCTAATTCCCAGATTATTTAAATAGCATTTATTAACCACTGACTGTTGACCTCTTCTGAAAATTAACAGTTCTCAGGAATACATCAAAGTTCTCATGCACATGAGAAAAACAAAACAAAACAGTATCTACAACTAGGGTTTGCAATTTGCATTGGGGTTCTAAGAGCCAGGCCATGGAATTCGAAAGGGGAAAGTTTATTTGCTGAGACTAATACAGAACCCCCTCAATTAAAAATATGGGGAATATGCTGGTAAAAATGCCCTTTGTCTGTGCTCTTGGATCATGTCCTACAAGTAGAATTTGATAGTCAAGTCTCTTACTTCTGGCATTTAAGAAAAACCTATGGTTCTGTAAATACACACATACTTAAACTTCATCTAGTTCTTCCATCTACCAGAAATATTCATTTAAGCAAAGGATTTCCTCTTGAAATCACTGAAGAGGTGATGCACGAGGTTGGGGTCCCCAGGGCACAGGTCTCAGCTCTGCTGCATTTCCCGTTGCCGGCGCAATTCCTCCAGTGCTGCGTTCTGCTGCCGCAGGGCCTGCTTCAGTCGCTTGATTTTTTCATCCCGTATCGTTTCATCCAGGTCTGGGGGAGCCACAGGGAAAGCATCATCTCGGAAAGAACCTTCCAGAATGGAAGTATCCTCTTCAGAAACTAAAACTGAAATCCCTGGGTGGGTAATGTCACTGTACTGGGGGAATGTGTCCTGCTCCAAGTCCCTCTCTTGGGACACTCCAACGAAGCCAGTGGGAACACTTGGCTGTGGTGAGGCTGGTGCAGGTGAAACACTCCTTTTAAGTGCACTGGAACTTGAGCTGGTGATTTCTAAACTGGGACTTGTGGATGATTTGATCGAAGCTCTCCTCCTCTTGCCACTGTCCGACAAAGGTGAGGATTTTATTTTCCTTTTCCTAATCAAATCCTCTTCTAGATCCACAATTGTCTGCAGTTAGAAACAGACAAAATTCACTTGTTAAAGTCAGTATCAGTTACATTATAACACCAAGTCCTCTAAGCACAAACTACAAGTTATTTGTTGCAAGTTTTTAAAAAATTATTGCCTGGAAGAAGTTTCTTTCAGCAAAGGACCAAACATATTTTTGTGTTTGATGTTTTTCTAGCAAAGATTCCCAGTTAATAATTCCAGACACTTAATTCCTTCAATGCTGCATATTTCCTGGTCACATCCATCATCTCCTGTGGCTGTTGAAGTTAACACTACTGCAAGACAAAAACTTTCTAATTCGATAGGAAAATTCAGTGTAAAAGAATTATTCATGTCTACATTTCCAAAACCTCAATCTGAGGAGTAATGTCCATTATCAGACTAAATTCCTCATAGACGTTTTATTATTTGAATCATGGAATCACATCCTGGTTTGAGTTGGAAGAGACCTTAAATCCCATTCCATTCCACCCCCTGCCATGGGCAAGGACACCTTCCATGAGACCAGGTTGCTCTAAGCTCCGTCCAGCCTGGTCTTGCACACTTCTAAGGGATGGGTTAATGCTAATGTTAATAGCAGCCATGGATCTGCTCAATTATTAGCACAAAATTAGTAAACCTGAGAAAGTCTTTGATTGAGTTGAGCAGAATCATACAGACGAAAATGTAGCTGAACGGAAATACTTAAGATGGATAAAATCTTTTCCATGCATTAACACAGAAGTTCTTCCTTCCAGAAGTACCCAACCAATGACAAAGTTTGTAACATTTGTAATTCTAAAGATTGGACAGATCCGCAAGTAAATTTCTTTTAATTTCAAGTAAACCCATTCCTCTGCCTGTACCCACTGCACTGCTAGACAAACATAACCATCTGCAGAGGCTTAAGTATAAAAAGGATCCCGAGGTCAGGTCCCTATTCCAACAAGGACCATCACCATAGTAGTAGGGACAGTCTTCTCAAAAGCATTTGTTGTTCAAGTTTCCTCCAGCAAAACCCAAAATTGAGAATAAAAATTCCTAGAGGGTGCTTGAGTCATACAGAAATCTCAAGTTCTAGGAACAATTCTCATAAAGATCCCAACAACTCCTGACTCTCCTGGTGAATCCAGAGGTGGGAGACTCCAAACACCCTCAGCTCTGTCTTGACTAAACATACGCTGTTTTCTAAATGTGTTTAGCACTGAAAAATCCCAGGTACCTTTTCTTTAACACATTCCTGATGATGACTCATTACTTCCACACCCAATGAGGATGAACTGCAAGACTCATTTTTCCTTTCCAAGCTGCCATTGGAACAAACCCTTTCTTCTGTATTCTCACAGAAGGCCCTTAATGGTACTCTTGCAAGGTAAACTCTCTCCTCCTTAAAGAGGCCAAATTTTTTCCTTAATTCCAAATATTGTTTCCAGTGTGGGTGCTCTTGGTGTTTCATTTGAATAACCTTTCCTGGTGAATCCATCTTTACACATTGGATCTGAAATACAGAAACAGTGAGAGAGCCATAAATCACTCTCTCCCTATATACATCTATAAATAGATAACACATAATAATATACAAAAAGTAGGTACTACAAAGACAGGGGAGCATTTATTTTGTCTGCCATTCTCCAAGAGCTGCATTTAACAAAGTAACATGTGACATAGATAATCCAATTTTGATAAATTATATGCAAATTATCATAGGTCTAACACTCATTAATTAACATCCCAAGTACATTGTGGAACATCCTGAAAATGTCCAGGCCAACCAGAAACCACAGAAATAAAAGATGCAACGTAAGAATCACTTGTCCTACTCTTTCAAAGTACCAAAGAAAGAGGAGGGAAGAGCAGGTAGTGTCTTTACTTTGCAATCCAGGGCTTTGCAAATTTAGGGACAAGAACACCACATTTGCTGAGCTATTTCTCACCAAGGTTAAAGCAAATGCTGAGACTCAGCATGACATAGCACTGAAGAAAATAAATGGTATTTCAACCATTTTTCAGGTGACAAAAAATAAAAAATCTAGGTATTACAGTCTGTTGCAACAATTAAATGTCTAAAATTTGCAAAAATACACTCAGCTGACATTTCTGTTTTTCCTGGACAACATAAACGAATTTCGTATTTTTTTTTTTTCCTTTGGAGACAAATTCATTCGGGACTCTGAAGCTACTAAAAACATGATCCCCAATCCTGTGTGGAGAGTTTGAGAAATGGAGGTATACAACTTTTAACATATTTTCAACATTATGACCATAAAAGAATATGTCAATGCAGCCACTAAGGATCTCAAGAGTTCCTTCTGCCTGGCGTGGACCCAGGAGCGAAGGAAGTGGACCCTCCCCACCAGGGCAGGGGAGGAAGGAAACACAGCTCCTGCCCATGGCTGTCAGCCTGGAGCTGACAGTGCCACACCAGAGCTGTCTCTGGAGGACAAACTCTGCTCTTCCAACTTATTTTCCTCTTGTGAAGCCACAAACTTGTCCTTCTCTACCCTACATCACTCCTACCGCCCTAAGGTTGTGCTGTAAGCATGTGGTATCAACATCTAAGAGCTCAAACCACAAACAGCCTCCCTGGAGTTCAGTTATTGCTGACCATTCATCTTGGGAGGAAATGAAAAACCACCTTTCCTCTGTCCCTTTCTTTTCTATGCATTTTGCACTTGCACAATGCAAAATTATTGGGAAAAGGGCCATTTATTGACTAGAACCAACCTTAAGGGCAGCATTTCCAGGACACCTGGTTACAAAAATGTGTGAACTCGTCAAGTCATTTTGTCCACCTAAAACCAGGACCACAGAACCACGGACCAGACACTGAGCAGCATATTTATGATTTATTACCTTTGGCCAGTCTTCACTGACAGCACATTCCTGCTTAGCCTGAGGTAACACAGCCCCTGCTGCTCTTGGGGAATTACTCATGTCTTTGCCATTTTGCCACACGCTTTCCTGCATCCCTACTGCTGGAACTGGGATCACTTCACTGCAAGAAACGCGCCTGATGGAGGGCAAACTCTGTCTCTGGCTTACAGTGGGATCCTGCTGATTAGCACTTGGTGTTAGCAGAGCTGCAGGTGTGGATTTTAAGTCATTTCTTAAGCTAGTTGGTGATGAATTTTTGGCAACTGTACATGGTTTTGGGTCTTTCTGAGACAGCACCACTCCTTTGCTTTTTGACAACACCAGATTCACCACTTTACTGGTTATTTTATTGACTCCAGTAGAATCCATTTGCTTGGGTGTCTCCTTTTTAAGTAAAGCATCAGAAGAGGAAGATGCCTGTTTGTCAGCCTGGGCTGACAGAATATCAGAGCCTCTTTTGGTCAATAAATAGATTTTCCCATTGTACATGACCAGAGCATTATCTTTTAAAGGTGTGATTTTGGTTTGGCTTCCACCAGGACCATTAGAACAGAGTGGCAAAATATTTGCAGGGTTAACTTCTACATTCTTCGTGTCTGACAAAGTTTTCAGGATCTTGGAAGCCACATTATTTGAAGACTTTACAGGGATAAGACAAGCTGCTGAGAGTGGAGCAGTTTCTTGCACAATCCATTTCATGGGAGTTTGCTGGCACTGCTGCCCCTCGGATGTGACTGGCTCGGGAGAACCAGATCCCTTTTGGGCAGCTGTCACTATCAGTGTCTTTGAAACTTCCGTGGCAGGTTTGGGGCCAAAGCTCTGCAAGCGCTTGGGCACGACTTGGGAGGTTTTCACTGTGTTTACGGGTGACACGTAAATCACCGTCGGCGTTTTTGTACTGTCAGCCCCTCCAGACACATTGGTGGCTGCAGCTGCCAGGATTTTTTGCTGTACTGCAGGTGGCAAAAGAGACGCTGGGACAAATTTCACTTCTGCATCAGCTGGAATCTGGAGGTGGTGTCCGGAAGGCAGCACCGGAGACTTGACAGTCACTGGGTGGGATTTGGTGTTCACCACCATGTAGGTTGTGCTGCTCTGGTGAGAAGAGCTCTTGATGGCCACGTTCTGTAAGGACACTCCATCCATGGGCATACAGCTGCTCTGGACATTGGCAGCTGCACTTGGAATCAAGCTTTCCTTTTCAGAACCTGCCCTAGCACTTTCCTGCTTGTCTAATGTTGTCGTAAGAATAATCTTTCCAGGATTAGGAGGCTGAAAAATAGGTATCTTAACAGATGAAGGTGCAGCAGTATTGCCAATCTGTGTCTTAAAAGTAAGATGGACTGGGCTAGAAACATTTGCATTAGAATTATTTGGCATGGCTGGAGACTGAACTATTGGCACAAAGCTTTCAGAAGTTTTAGAAATGGGAAGCAATTTCAGAAGGTTTTTTCCATCTGGTCCCGTTGTCGGAATGACTCGGTACATACAGCCTGTAATGCTTAACAAAGAAAAGGGAAAGGAGAGAAAAATGAAAGGCAGTGTAAGTGAATAAGCATAGGTACTTCAATTCACAAGCATCAGTGAACTCTACACCCAGGGCTGAAGCAGATTAACTCTTGGAAAATGCCTGAGCTAATCTTCAGGAGCTTCCTACTGACCTACCTGGGTTTCCATTTCAGACCACCTCAGACTGTCAGAAAATAGTGTCCAACTTCAACACCCCAGAGTAGCAATAAATGGCATCTTTTTCAGATTAAAAATAAGTTAAAAAACCCCAGGAAACACCTCACATTACCTCTGCTTCCCCTCATGGGGCCTTTCATCTTGAAAATGAAACCACTACCTCCCTATTTCCCAGAGAAGCTATATTCTTCCCTTTCCCACCTCCCTGTTACTCTTTATATCCTTCCTGAGTGCTATGAAGTATGAATTTCAGGAACACTTCAGGAAAATACAGGCAGAGTAGTTGCATGGCAAGATGGAAGCAGAAATTACTTCAGATACAACAAAGGAATTTGGAAGTAGGATGAGTTTATCTTGTGGAACAGGTGGCTCCTGTGCCTCCATCGCACCTGCCTGGCCATTCTTGAGGCAGATACAGACCACAGAGGTGGTTCGTCCTCAAAGAGATGGAAAACCCTCAAATACTACTGGGTTATAAACATTTTTGAGAACAGAAGTTTAAGTCTGGGAAGGAAAAGGCTTCAAAACCAAGGAGGAACACATGGAAACAGCACTAGGGACATCTCAAAGAGAAAACAGAGATTTCTTGCAGGTGAAGGTAAGAACTCACCAAGAGACAGACAGATCTTGTCAGAACACAAGTTAGCTGTGACTGTTCCAAATGCCAAGATTTCCTGAGTCCATGGCAAGACAAAGAACCTTTTCCACTCTGGGGGAGTTTGCCCAAAGCAAGCTCTTCAGCAAAAGAGCTTCTGGACTCTGAGCAGAACAATCTACTGCCCAAAGCACTGCAGAGACACGTGTGGGTAAACAGAGCTGCTCTCACTGGAATGAAGAGATCAAATCACTGGAAGTTGCTTCCTGACAGCAGATCCAGAGCGATTAAAAGGCAGAGCTGCCAACTCCACCTGGAGTAACCAAGAGCACCAGCTCCATCCCACTGACCTCCTACATCAATAAATGCCTTGGGAAGACGAACATGGGAATAGTTCCCAGTCCCATCCCGATGACATCAGTGCTGTGTTCTGCTTTCTGTCAGGTAGTTTTGAAACCAGAATTTTTTCTGTCTTTTTGGGCTTCTGACTCAGCTTGGAGCAGTGCCTGGCAGAGCTCAGTCTTGCCTCCCATCACTGTATCTGCTCAGGAGTCAACCAACCTTTGCCTTTTCCCATCAGGCGGGAAATCACAGGAACGCTCTTCACTCCCAAAGCTGGGCAGCTGCTGCTGGGGGTCTCATTCCCCTGGGGACTGACACAAACACCCCACTACTGTCTGCCCAACACACAAAGGCATCAGGGATACATAGCTGTCCTTGCTGTGACCTTGGAATTAACTCCCACACCTAGTATTTTGGTACAATGCCTCATTTCTGGTCACAATATGTGAAAATTGAGATTTTTACATGAGGTAACAGTGCAGTGGGCAGGAAATTCTCCAGTACTTTTGTTTTTAAGGTACCAAAAGTTAAAATATGGGCAATATATCACACAGTTCCTAATGGAAGCTGTCATTGAAGGGCTTAGGAGCAAAATGGCATTGGATGCTTTGGAATCAGAAATGAGAGTTGAGATGGACTAGCACTGACAGGCAGCAATCTGATAGAAAATAGTTTTGCTTAAACAAAGAGGAAGTAGAAATATCTGTGTGTTCGAACATAACTAAAGCAGAGAAAAAAGACTTTTGAAGAACTTTAAACCTTATAGCATACTGACAATGCAAATGAGGAACAGCAGCAGCTCCTGGACAACACTCTGTCTGTTCTGTGCTTTGAATCTCTCAACACTTCTTTCCTAACTTCATAACCTACAGCCTCAACTTTGCTTCTACATATAAGACGTAAAGGCAAATTCCGAAGGATTTTTTCAGCAAGTCCCACAAACATGGGACTTGAACAGAGAAACGGGCACTTACCTGCACCCCCAACTAACTAGGGCCGCAAAATGTCACCAAGAAGAAACCTCCAAAGAGGCTTGTTCCTCCACCTGTCAAAGCAAGGGGACACTTCTAACTTTTGTGCAACAGGAGGGGGAGCAGATCAGAGGGAGAGGAAGCAAGAAAAAAGGGAGAGATGAGCTGACGATATATTTGCAGCAATATGTTCCTCTGGCAGTTTCCAGCGCTCACCTCCTCATTCCACCTGGAATCACCATTCACCTCCAGCTCAATGGACTTAAAAAGAGGTTTTGACTGTGCTACATATAGGAACTTTACAAGTAGATTGGGAGGGAAAGCACCAGTAAAAAATCTCATTTGCCTGAATTTCAGATCATTCTGCTTTTAATGATTACAGAAGGCAACTGTAGCTTTTTATCTCCATGAAAAAGAGCAAGACGTTTCAAAATCATGATTGTCTGGGAAACAACATTCTTTAACTTGAAACAAATATCAGGTATTTACATGTTTGGAGAATGACAAAAAGCTAAAGGACAGGCAAGAGAGAAGGAAAAGTCCAACAAGATACCAAGAAGTGGAATTCACGCATACTTACTCAAATGATAGAGAAGGGAAAGAATCACAGCAAATCTTTTTAGCTCTCTAAGTTGAAAAGGCTTCATTGCAATAATTTCACATCATAACGCTTTTCTCAGGTGATACAAAGAAACAACCATAAGGAAGTTTCATGTTACCAGAATAAAATAAAGCACTGTCCCCATAAATTTTCGAGTGATGAAGAGGAGAGTTAGAAGTTGTTTTGCGTCAGTCTTCAAGGTCACTGCTTCCTTGAATTAATGAATCTTTAAGAATGTCTTAAGCAGAATGAAAAAAAACTCCCTCAGTATCCCCTTTTTAGGGTGTCAGATTAATTTGGTTAAAGAACAGGTTAATTTCTTTCCCTATCAAAAAAAAAAAAAAAAAAAAAAAAAGAAATCTGTTTCATGCAGGCTGTCCCTCGGGACTTCTCCCACAGTTACTGAAGTAGAGTAGAGTTTTCTTTCTCCTCTTCATCCTCCTTCGCTTCCAATCCCGTAAGAATAAACCTCCTCGAGTCTCATATACTAACACTCAGAAATAATTGTCTTGTTATGATATTTTAGAAAGGCCTAAGGCAGATCCATGAACAAACCTCGAGGGAAATAAGCTCACAGAAGACCAAAAAAAAATGCTGGACTGGAAGAAATCTTTTAACATCACCAGAGAAATTATCAAATTCAATAAAAACAATCAAATAAAATTATTTGACATTCACAGAGGGATCTGTCAACCAGATCACATTTTTTTGACCCAAAAAGGAGATTTCTTTTGGTGAACAGTCTGTGTGTGGCAACACCAACACCTCCCTATGGATGTGGCATTAAGGAAGGCAGGAAAGCAGAGAGAACAGAAAGAAATTGGAAGCTTTACTTCTTTACTTACTTATTTCAAAACAGAAAAATAAAAAGAATAATCTACATTTCCTTCAGTTCACCAAAATTCCTGTTTTCTTGACCAGACACATCAGTTTTACCGTCCAAACTTCTCTCTCTGTTCATTACTCTCAGTGAGCAGCACAAAACACAAAATACTGAGTATTCAAACATTCACCTTCTGTCCTTTATGCTTGCATTAAACAAAACATCCACAGAATATTTTCAGGAAATAGGAATATTTATTTCTGCCAAATAAATTCATTCACCAAATCCAGTGCAAACACCAGCACATGATTCCCACAGAAATCCTGACAGTGGCATTAAAAAATGCATCAGCAGAGACCAAAGAGACAGACTGGCTCAATTTTCCTGCAAAGATGTCAGAAGGAACAATGAGCTACTTTTTCATCTGTCTTCACTCCCAACTGTTCCTTTAGGCACAACTTTCATCTACAAATTTGAATAAATAACCAGGGACTACGGGCCACTCCAGAGAACCAAAAGAATTTATTTTAATGGGTTCAGCTGCATCCAGGAAGTGGCAAAGTAACTATTTATCGTCAGTTGGAAACAGGCACCCAGGGACAAAGTAAAATTAATTGACTGTAGTTGATACATATTTATTTTATACAACTGCATTCATTCCATGGATTATTTGAAAACTGTAATAAAATAATAATAGTAATGACAATAACAAATATATAGTAACACATAATCTAGATAATATACAATAACCATCATTATTATCATCATCTAAAGGAAATCAAGAAATTGATGTTGGATTTGGAGGAATCCTGACCAGAATTTTAGTTGAGGCCGTCTCATGATCTGAGGTTTTATCCTAAACCAGAAGCTTTCTGTAATGGCAGAAAAAACACTTTCTGTTTGACAGTACTTGCTTCCGGGAACTCTTTTCATCCACCGTGTAATATTCCCTGGAATAGAGATAATTGTGGATGTGCGAACTGCCAGGAAACACCTCCTGTGCTCTACTATCAACCACAGCTCTCCTGATCCATGACCGAATCCTCCTCCGCCACAAAACCTCTGGCAGGATCCGTGACCATCACAAACGCCCAACATGGATCCCCCGGCAGCCCCAGGATTCAGAAACCACCCAGAACTCATCCCTGAACACACAAAGCACCCTGAGAACTCCTGAGAGACAAGGAAAGGCATCAGGAGCCGAACCACGGCTGGAGCCCAGCAGGAACGGAGGCACAGAGCCGGGCAGCCCGGAGCATTCCCTCGGCACCGTTCCTGTCAGGACAGCCCAGCACAGCCACCTCTACGCGGTGTGATCCTAATGAGGGACCCCATCAGTGGAACTGCCCCAGAGAGCCCAGGGAAGAGAACAGGGCTGGCAAGGGGCTGGAGCCCCAGAATGGCTGAGGGAGTGGAAAGGGCTCAGCCTGGAGAAAAGGAGGCTCAGGAGGGACCTCCTGGCTCTGCACAGCTCCTGACAGGAGGGGGGAGCTGGGGGAGAGTTGTGCTCTGCTCCCTGGGAACGGACAGGAGGAGAGGGAATGGCCTCAGGCTGTGCCAGGGGAGGTCCAGGTTGGATACTGGGAAAATTTCTTCATGGAAAGGATGGCCAAGCATCAGAAACGGGTTCTCAAGGCAGAGGTGGAGTCACCATCCGCGGAAGTGTTTAAAAAAACGAGTGGATGAGGCACTTGGGAACATGGATTTGTGGGGAATGCGGCAGTGCTGGGGGAATGGTTGGGCTCATTGATCTTTAAGACCTTTTCCAACGGAAATAATTCCATGACTGTGCAAGGTTCAATTCCTCTCACATCCTCACTCCCCCGCTCCCGGCTACCTCCAGCACACACCACCGTCACCGCGATGTGGCAGCAGTGAGAACAAACACCAAGAGCCCCCGGCACCAAAACACAACCGAAACACAACCGAAACACAACTGGCGTCAAGCCGGAGACGGCACCGCACGCGGAAGCAGCTGGAACTGCCCCCAGGCTGCTCCGCACCGCCTGGAATGGGAACGGGAAAAGGAAAGGAGAGGAAAGGAGAAGGGAAGGGAAGAAGGAAAAGGACAGGATAGAACGACACAAGAAAGAGACGGGAAAGGAAGGGATAATAAAGGAATGGAGATGAAAGGAACCAACAGGACGCCGCCCTCCCCGCCCCCCACCAGTCCCGCCGAGGCCGCCGCCGCCGCCCTCCCGTTTCCGCCCACGGGTCCCGGCAGGGCGGGGAGCGGCGGGACCGTACCTGGCGGGGCGTCCCTGCGAGGCAGACCCCCGGGCCCGCCCGTACTCACAACTGCGGCCGCCGCTCAGGGCTCCGCGACATGGCGGCGCGGCCCCGCCGCGGCTCCGCATGCGCGTCACTTCCGCCCGCCCCGCCCCTGCAGAGCCGCTTCCGGGACGCGACTTCCGGGAAGTGGCGCCGCCCGGCGGCCGCGAGCGGCACTGCGGTGGTGGAGCTTCCGGTGCGGGCGGAAACGGGCGGGGCGGGGCCGGAGGGTCCTGGCACCGCCCCCTGGCACCGGCACCGCCCCCTGGCACCGGCACCGCCCCCTGGCACCGGCACCGCCCCCTGGCACCGCCCCCTGGCACTGGCACCGTCCCTGGCACCGGCACCGGCACGGCACGGCTGGTTCGCGTGGGCGGGAGCCACGGGCTGGCCACGGGACAGCGCCACTGAGCGCCGGCGGGCGTTTACATGGGCAATTTACATATGCAAATGTGTGTTATAATTATGCAAGGACAGGTGTCTGTCAGAGAGAGTGGGGCGGATACATGCACACGGGAGAAGCGCTGTGTGCTGTCTGTGGCCTTTATATGTAACAGATGTTATGTAATATATAACAGGAATAACAAAATATAATAGATCATCTAATATTATATTGATACAATTGCATAATTATATTAATAGTGGTAAAATAATAAATTGAAATACAAGTCATACATAGTGACATAATCAAATGTAATGAAAATTTATCGTTATTATGCTCTTGCATTTTATATAATCCTTACTATAGATTACATGAAGTAAATACATGTTTGTATTATATTATGTAGACACTATGAAAAGGGGCACAGACTGAGGCTGCACAGACTACAAATATACATGTGTACATAAAAGGAGACTGTGTGAGACTGTGGTATATATACGTTTATACATATATATATGTAATATAAAATTATAGATAAAGTTGTAATATAGCAACATGTGTGGTACCCAACAGGAAACAATACCATGACACTGTGGGATGTAACAGTAAATATAAGCATAAATAATACACTACATAACACATGGCAGATATAAAATATCTTGTGCATTTTGTTATATCTTTTGGGTTATTAAAGTTACTTAGAGAAATGAAAGAGTGCCTGGGAGTGTGTGCATTTGTAAAGTATAAAAATGTGTGTGTGTATAAAATGGTGAGAAAGTGAAAATAACACAAATCACATTTTGTATTGTTAAGTTCTCTATGGTATAACAATAGGATAAAAGGGTGTCTGAGACTATAAACACATGGGCATAAATGTATGTGTATACAAGTGTATAAATACATGTACTAAAGGTGTTTATATATGATGGAAATATTAGATATATAAAAATTATATAATATTACATATTATATTATATTATATTATATTATATTATATTATATCACATCATATCCCATCATATCATATATCATATTTATTATATTTATTATATTGGTGAAACTTACCAGGCTGACAAGGTGGGGATTGGTCACAGGTTGGACTCGATCATCCTGGAGGGCTTTTCCAACCTCAGCGATTCCATGATTTGCAGTGTCAGACTCTCTATTCCATGGAAGGGAAGAGTTTCAAAATCACCTGGTAAAATTTTGCTTTCACCAACCATAAATTGCCCAAGTGACACGGAATGCTGGCGACACGTTTGGCTGCTCTCCACGTATGGAGGAGCAGCTTTGGCAGCTGTGTCCCTCCACCTGTGTCCAGGCTCATTCTCCTTCCGTGGCAGGGATGAGCCCGTGTGGCTCGGATGCTAAACCAGGGCCATGTCAGCCCACACCCCAACTTCCCAGAGCTTCAGCTGCTTCCCCAGCCCAGAGCCCACACACTGACAGTCACCAGCGGGGCCAGACATGGTGCTCCATGTCACGTTATCCACGAAGATAGGCCAGGATGGATGGGCTTGGAGCACCCTGGGATTGTGGAAGGTGTCCCTGCCCATGGCAGGGGGTGGGACAGGATGAGCTTTAAAGTCCCTCCCAAACCAAACCAGTCTGCGGTTCTGGGATTCTGAGATGTTACAAAACTGCTTGAGAGATTCTTGTCACTGATTTTCATGTTGCTCCTTGGGAACAGACTGAAAGACCCTTTCATATTCTGTCCTCTCTCTTGCCCCAGCACCAGGATCACAGAATCTCAGAATCGTTTAGGTTGAAAAAGACTTCCAAGACCATCAAGTCCAACCTGTGACCAGTCACCAGCTGGACAAGACCACTGAGTGCCACAAGCAGTCACTCCTTGAAAATGTCCAAGGACAATGACTCTAGCACCAATGGAGCCCCCATTTCCCTCCTCCACCCCAAGCAAGAGAATGAGTTAAAACTCTCTGGATTTGTGAATGTCCAGATTGTGGTAACAACGGGGTGTTGGGGTAATGCAGGAGAAGGTGGGTGTGTCCTGAAGAAACCACATCCATCCCATGAAGTACCCACCCTGGAGAAGGAGAAATGCAAGGAAGAATGAGCAGATGGGAGTTTTTATACACTGATCACATCCCCCATTCCCCATCCCCACTGCACTGCCCAGGCTAGAGGGAAAGGGAGGAGTTGGGGATGTGAAGCTGAGCCTGGGAAAAAAGTGGTTTAAATCTTGTCTTGGTTTCTCAACATCGAAACATATTTTAATTTGCAATAAACTAAATTATTTTTTCCAACATCAAGTGTTTGCCCATGACAATTATTGGTGTCATGTGGAGATTATAGAAATTTGGCAGAAAATAATCCCCGTGTCCCAGCTGGTCCTCAGAGGGGTTGGGAACAGCTGGGTTAAATTTCCAGTCATGACCAATTGGGCACCACAAGTCTGGTCCTGTTCAATAAGGACTTTCAAAATCACAGATTCACAAACAGTGGGAATTCAGTTCTGAAACAACAGAAATACAGGCCTGGAATTGCCATTGATAAAATGCACCAGCACCAAAAGAATGATGATGATGATGATCAACAGCAACAACAACCGCCATATTAATAATGATGCGCTAACACGGGTAATAATAATTGTATGCAAAATGTTACCAAGAAGGCATCCCCAGCTGGGAAGGGCGAGAGCAGAGTCACCCACTGATTCTCTCTAAGGTCTTCCTCCTCACTAGGGTAATTTATATCCAACTCAATAATCCTCCCCCTATTTTATGTACAGCATGATCCAGGCAAAGACTTGAGTTATAAAGTCATCCACAGAATCCTGGAATCATTCAGGTTGGAAAAGACCCCCAAGATCATTGACTCCAACCTGTGAATGGTCTCCACCTTATCAGCCAGATCAGAGCATTGAGTGCCACTTCCAGGTATTCCTTGGATACCTCCAGGGATGGAGACTCCAAACCTCCCTGGGCAGCCCCTTCTGATGTCTGACCACCCTTTCCATGAAGAAATTCTTCCTCATGTCCAACTTGAACCTCCACTGGCACATCTTGAGGTTCAAGACACAGACGTTTAGACCATCTTCTGATCTTTGTGGTTCCTGATACACCTAAAAATTATATTCTTTAGAATTACTATTCTTTTATAAACTGAGTTTGAAACCTGCCAGGAAACCAGTGGTGGGCTTACACAGAGAGAGGTGTCATGGGGACACTTGAGAATAGTGTCTGGCATGTGACACCAGGCAAAGGCACCATGACCACTCACAGTCTGTCCATGTCACTGCTCTGAGATGATCCTACACTGATCCAACCCTTGGGCTGCATCAAGAGGTTACCTGGAGAAACACTCCACCATTTCAGCCCAGGAGGGAGCCTTTACAAGCCCTTGTGGGTACTTCTTGGCCAGCAACTTGTCAATGGGATTTGCTTATGCCCAAACACATGTTTGCAAACCTCTTTCTATTTTTCTACAACAGCTGTAATCCTAGTCACAACCCAGAATCATGGAATCCTGGAATCATTTTGGTTGGAGAAGCCCTCTAAGATCATTAAGACCAATTGTTAACGAGCACTGCCAAAGCCACCACTAAACTATACACCTCCAGGGATGGTGATTCTACCTGTGCCCTGGGCAGCCTGAGCCAGAGCCTGAGCACCCTTTCCATGAAGAAATTTTTCCCAATATCCAAACTAAACCTCCCTGGCACAGCTGGAGGCTGTTTCCTTTTGTCCTGTCCCTGTTCCCTGGGAGCACAGCCTGACTCCACCTGGCTGCCCCTCCTGTCAGGGAGTTGTTTCAGAGACAGAAGGTTCCCCCTGAGCCTCCTTTTTCATCAGGTCCCCTGAGAAGATCAGGCACAGGCATGATTTATCTAAGACATTGTGACTGTCACAATAGGAAAGGTGTGATCAGAGAAGGTCCCGTGGAGCTGAGCCAACTCCCAGAGACTCGTGCTCAGTCCCCCTCTTGAGGAGGACTGAAAGGGTTGGCTATGCATTTGTGAATAAAACAGAACAAAAAAATCTAAATTACATAAAAGGCTGCACTGGGTTAACTATAAAGGGAGTGGATTGGGCCACCTGGTTCTCTTTTTCCTCTCTTTCACTTTCACTTTCTCTCACAAGCCCAACGCCAGGAACAAGATGGGATCTAAGGACTAGTGAGACTCTGTACTTGTTCTCTTCCTCCCCCTTTTCTGTCCTTATTTCACAGAACCACAGAATGTTCTGCATTGGAAAGGACCCACAAGAAGAGTCCAACTCCTGCCCCTGCACAGACACCCCAACAATCCCACTCTGTGCATGCCTGAGAGTGCTGTCCAAACACTCCTGGAGCTCTGGCAGCCTCAGGGCCGTGCCCATTCCCTGGGGAGCCTGGGCAGTGCCCAGCACCCTCTGGGGGAAGAACCTTTCCCTGATATGCAATCTAAACCTCCGCAGACACTCCAGGATCCAGCCATTCCCTCTGGTCCTGTCCCTAGTCACCACAGAGAAGAGATCAGTGTTTGCCTCTTCCCTTCACATGGAAATTGTAACTGTGATTAGTCTCCTGTCAATCTCTTCCAGCTGAACAGAGCAGGTGCCCTCAGCTGCTCTTCATATGTCTTCCCCTCAAGGCTCTTTACTATCTTTGTTTCCCTCCTTTTGATGCTCTCCAACAGCTTAATGTCTTTTTTATCTTGTGGTGGCCAAAACTGCCCCCAGCACTCAAGGTGAGGACACCTCAGCCCAGAGCAGAGC